TGTTTTGGTTAATTAACCATTAAGTTTTTATTTGAAAAAATCATTTCGTTACTAGAAATTTTTAAGTTTTCAATAAAAGTTTATTTGATAAAATTATCTACAAAGAAAAGATAACCTTTAACCCTTCATCAGTGTGGTGGGGTATGACATACCCCAACCATTATATTTTTTAAAATATTTTGGAATATGTTACTACTAGCGTCATCTAATTTTTAGTAGCAGGAGCAACTTGGGAAAAATAAAATAACGAATATAGAATACGATTGTGGTATGCTATACTCCACCCAGGTGTGGGTACCAATATAGGCAAAACACAACGGTCGTATTTTTAAGGAAAACAGTTCGCTAGATTTCGCTGAACTCATGAGAACACGCACACATACACGCATATGTATATACTTGACATTTGACATTGCAAATAATAAACATAACTAACCTAACTAACTTTAAAGCTTTCAAGTGTAATTAAATAGTTCAGTTTCGTTCACTTTATTTTGGATTATAAATTGTAAAATGGGATTGTAATTATGTTAAGAAGCTACTATAAGAGATTGAAACTTTAAGTTATTAAAAGAATTTTTTAGAAGAGGATAATGTTTGGAGTCGGCATAAGCAAAATAAGTTGTTAAAAACGTAATCGTATCTAAAAATAAACAAACAACAGTAACAATAAACAGACACGACTTTTAGGAAGCAACTTGAGAATATACACATTACTAAAAATATTAACAATGTTGTACATTTCAAAACGGATGTAGGTAAGATAGGTGCACATTATGCTGGCATAATCAACAGCTTAAAGATATAATAAATGGTTCACATATATATACCAATAGATGGAGCCTTATAATATAAAATACAGGGTTAAATAAAAACTAGTTTTAATGCGTGGTGATGACGAGATAGAAGACCGTACCCTCGTTGTAACCGTTGAGGCGTAGGTTTTTGACGTATATCGGTTTACCGAGTTATAATTAGTTTTTATTAAGTTTTAAATTGTGATGTTTAAAAATATTACTATTGACGATTAATGTTTTGGGTAAGTTATCACGTTACGATAGTCGAATATTTTTTGAGTATCGGATTAAGGTTGAAATATAAATTTTAATTGCGGAGTGTAACCAAAGTCATTGTTGCAGATCAAAATTAATAATTGTAAGAATTGTACTTGAAAATGGAATAAATTTCCGAAACGTCATACAAAAAAATATTACGTTGAAATATTATATTTCAAAAAAATTAGAGGTTAAATAAATGGTTGTCAAATGTGTCCTTTTTATTGAGAAAAACACATGGTTGTTTGATTTATTTTATAAATTAAAAACTTAATATAGAAGAATACCTCTAAAAAACAAATTAAAATCAGAAATTAAAATAAAGAGTTATAAAACTGTCTGTGATTTGAGGTATTTTGTGTTAATGGCATATACATATTATTTTTTTAAAATTGGCAGATGGTACATGTTGGGACATGTATTTGTGGTAGATAATGGGACGCGTCCCAATATATAGCACGTCAAAAGAAATGTTGACTACTATAGAGAACCAGAAAGTCTAACCCTAAAATACTTCCTTAAAAGAAAGTAAATGTTTTCATACAGAATATAAACCGAAAATGAAAACAGCAGTGGAAAGTATTGCTAGCGGTGGGATTTCTATACGAGCAGTAGCTGAACACTATTCACTTAATAAATCTGCCTTGCACCGAATGTGGTCGAAGTATAAACAAATAAATGACGATGAAAAAAAATTTTTTTGTTTTCAGAAAAAACATGGATGTTCTCAAATTTTTACTGATGAAGAAGTGAAAGCATTGTCTAATTACTTATGTGTTACGGTTTGACTATCAAAGACACTTACGAACTAGCATTTCGATTTGCCACTCACTGCCAATAATAAGACCATCCTTGCATCTTGGAATACAAAAAAATCAGCAGGCGTTGAGTGGATTTGATTATTTCGGAAGAGGCATTCTCATTTGAGTTTAACTTCTCCAGAACCAACTAGCTTAAGCCGCGCTACTAGTTTCAATAGGCACAATGTATCAACATTTTTTGACAACCTTGAAAAGGTAATGTCGAAACATAATTTCACAATTAATCAAATATATAATTGTTACGAGACAGGTGTGACTACCGTCCACAAACCACCAAGGATAATTGCTCCGAGTGGTCAAAAGCAAGTGGGAAAAGTTGTCAGTGCTGAAAGGGGACTTCTTGTTACCATGTGTTCCACAGTATGCGTAATCCTCCGTTTTTTATTTTTCCTCGGAAGCATTTTAAGGTCCACATGTTAAATGCTGCTCCCCCTGTATCCAGAGGAGCTGCTCACAAAAGTGGATGAATGACAACTACAAACTTTAAATTGTATTTAGAACATGTAGTAAATGTTACTAGATACAATCAAGATAACAACATTATGTTGATTTTAGATAATCATGAAAGTCGTCTAGACTACAATGTATTAAAATTTTGCAAAGAAAATGGCATGGATCAGGTGACTTAATATGTATAACATTGCCGAAATTGTGGGATTGTCGTTTCCATCCGCTTTCACACCATCTAATATTATAAAGGGATTCGAAAGGACAGAAATAGCTCCATTGAACAGATTATTTTTGACGATTCCGAATACCTGTGTTCTTATGTCACAGACAGACCCTTACAATCCGAGAAAGTATCAGATGCAACAGAAACACAACCTAAAGAATCGAATTCTGAAATAGAAGAATATGTTCAAGATCCACAATCTAGTACCAGTAGAACTGATATGCATTCTAAAATATACGGTGATGAATTATTGGTTACCACAATTCAACATTCAGACACTTTCATTTCTCCACAGATGCTTAGACCACACATGAAAGCTCGGGAAAGAAAGAAAACTACAAGAGGAAGAAAGAAAAAGATGTCGACTCCAAATCTTGAGGAACAAAAAGAAAAACAATTGAAAAAGGAAGAATTACAGAAAATTAAAAGGGCTCGAAACAAAAAGAATAGAAAGGTACAAAGCGCCAAAGTAAAAGTTTTTGAATCGTCAAGCGACAGTGTGACTGCTGAAGACGTAGTATATGACGATAAATCTAGTGAGAGCAGTTCCCTTGATAAAGAAGAAATGATAGAAACAGATCTACAAGTTACAGATTTTGTAATAATTCAATACGTTCTTAAAAAAAGTATTAGACATTACGTAGGAGAAATAGAAAAGATAGAATGTGGCCAGGTTTATGTTAATTTTTTAAGATTTGAGAATGGCAAGTTTTTATTTCCGGACAAAAAAGATGAAGATATCTTGGAAAAAGAAGACGTTGTATGCCAGCTACCGAAGCCCAATCATCATGGTGGGACAGAAAGGGAAAGAAGAAAATTATTCTTTGATTTTGATTTCACCAAATATAATAATATTTAGGATGTTTTCAAGCCCCTGACTACATAAAAAGAAATATTTATGTTTTGTTAATTAGTTTTCAGTTTTGTTAAAAGAAATGTGATTTTACTTTTATAAAAAAATATTCTTTTCTCTTGAAATAATTAATGTCCCATAGTGCAACGGTGGCCAAACTGTGGCTCGCGAGCCGCATGCGGCTCTTCGATGATATTATTGCGGCTCAACTAACAATTCAAATAATAAAAAATCTTCGAAGAAAAAAGATTCCCCGAACATTTGCAGAGCAAACGTCGTTACTTGTGGCGAATAAGGAAGCTATAAATCAATACGTCTGATACAGATTTCGGGGAAGAACATTTTTACAGTATTCAATTCACTCGAACTATCGCGACCCTATACGGTGATTGTGTTTGTCAGTCTCTCTTCTTGAATAAAAACGGTAGGTAACGATTTAAATAAAATACTTCACATTATATGAATGTTATTAATATTTACTATTATAGATGAAATATTGATTTACTAAGATGACCCCTCCAAATAAACGAAAGCGGAAGTATGCCGACGAAAACCGAAATTTTAATGAGGAATGGGAAGAAGATTATGCTTTTATAGAAAAAAATGGCAAAGCTGTCTGTCTAATTTGTAACTCAACCGTGAACAATTATAAGGTAGGAAATTTAAAACGTCATTATGAAAAACTCCATTCCGAATTTATATCTGAATATCCGGCAAAATCGGAGTTAAGAATTAAAAAACTACAATCGCTAAAGTCTTCAATTAATAATCAAGTCAATTTTATGTCAAAATTTACTGAAGGATCTAAATGTGTAACAAAAGTTAGTTTTAAAATAGCGTGGAACATAGCAAGAGCGAAACGGTCATATACTGAGGGAGATTTTATTAAACAAAATATTATTGATACAATTAAATCATTAGATACCAATAATACAAAACTTTTAAAGTTGATAGGTGGCATTCCAGTTTCACGACATACAGTAGAACGCCGAATTGCAGAAATAACTGTAGATTTATTATCGCAATTACATAAAGACATAAAGAATTGTGTAGCATTTAGTTTGGCGCTTGATGAATCAACGGATATCACCGATCAACCTCAGTTAGCAATTTTTATTCGTTTCGTATTTGAAGATGGAGTCACGCGAAAAGAATTATAAGATCTCATTGCTTTAAAAGATATTACACGTGGTATCGATATTAAAGAAGCTTTTGATGCCGCCGTTAAAGATATTCCGAAAAACAAACTAATAAGTATAGCCACTTGTTTAAAAAGTTAAATTTATTTACATTTTGTTTATTTTATAGAATTGTTAAAAAATGTATTATGTTTTCTTTTCATTCACATATTTTATTATTATTTTATTTTTAAATTCAAATATTATTTCATATCGTATTTCTTGTTCCTGTTTGTCTTGTATAAAAGTCTTGTTTTTCGAATAAATGTTCTCTTTTGTCGGTCAGATTTCGTGGTGTTTAATTCAAAACCTGTTCCCCCAAAAAGTTATTTCGATTTTCAATTTCCGAAAAATACATCTTTAATTCCGCGAAAGTTTTCGTTTAACATCACTGATGGAGCAGCTGCAATGGTAGGGAAAATGTTATCAATGGTATCAATGTACGATGTCCTGAATAGGTTTGTAATATTGTTAGAACCAATTATTGATTTTTTAGATGAAAAAAAACAAACATATCCGCAATTAAAGGATAAAGAATGGCTCTGTGATTTAATGTTCTTCACTGATACAATGGAGCATTTAAAAAAATTAAATTCATTGTTGCAAGGTAAGGACAAGAATATCTCAGAGTTGAGTCAAAGCATTTTCAGTTTTAAAAGAAAGATACAACTTTTTGAACAAGACGTAATGGATAAGACATTCAATCACTTTCCTCGATTAAAGGAAGCTGCTTCAGAATATGATATTTCTTTAACAGTCATCATTAATTATCAGACAAAATTAAAAAACCTGTACAACGATTTTGAAGATCGATTTACGGATTTAGTTGCACTGAAACCATCAATTGCATTTTTGTTAAATCCGTTTGAAATTGATATCCATAATAATGGTTTTAAATTATTAAAATGTTTACTACCAGAGACGGCTTCCGGAGAAATAGAATTAATTGACATGCAAGAAGATCAAGGTCTCCACATGTTACACAAATCGGCAAAATCAGTAAATGAATTCTGGAAATGTGTACCAGCAGTTAAATACAACAATTTAAAAATTGCAGCTTATCGATTACTATCAATATTTGGATCAACATATGATGTCGAATCATTGTACTCAACAATGAAACTAATTAAATCTAAGTTTCGTTCACAATTGACTAACCAACATTTAAAGGAATTAATAAGATGTTCAACTACCAATTATCAACCTGATTTTCAAAAATTAACTTTTACATTACAAACTCATCAACCTTCAACTAGTAAGAAATAAATATGTAAAAATTACTATCATTAAATACATTGTGGCTTAAAAAATTGTTTTTTTTTTATACCAAACTCTTGCGGCTCCCAATATTTTCAGGTAGTTTACTACGGCTCTTATTACAAAAAGTCCACCCCTGCCATAGTGTACCATGCCTTGTCCCATTGTGTACCATATTGTGGTCATCATTGGGACAAATGGTATATTCTGGGACACATGCCTTATTTTTGCCTCTTATCATTTTTATACTTAAAAACCTAAGATAATAGTCAGTACCTATCATAAACAGTAGCATATTTCAATCGCACCCTTGAAATACTAAGTTTCATTAAATTATCGGATAAAGAAAAAAAACGTCCCACTATAAACCATGCTCCCCTGTATTAAATGAAAATGAAATAATTATTTTTTCATTTCGCTCTCAAATATGTTATTCTATATCGGACTTTCGTTTGACACACTACGGTTGAATCACCCCTTTTACGAATATTTTTTGATACAAATTAATTAAATTTGATAATCAGATCAATTATCTCTGGAAGCAAAACATTTTTATAAGAAATCAACATACCTTCAAAAGAAAGCCGTTCTTTATAAAAAACGAACTAATTCCCTAAAGAAGAGATTAACATTAGCGACGACACAGTAGCAAGTGAAGAATTGCGGCTTACGGAATGAAGCTATCAACTTCTGTTAATTGCAATTAAAGTCTAATGTAGTAAAATCTACAGGACGGCGATACTCTGACGACGAGAAATTAATGTGCCTCGAGTTATATAAATATGAGTTATATAAACAAAAGAAAGATTATATGTTTTAACGTTCGATGAAGTAGCATTAAATCCACATTTGGAATACAACAAATACTGCGATCAAATTTATGGTTTGGAGGATGACATCATAGTTGATCATGCGTTGGTTTTTATGATACGAGGTGTAGCCCAAAAATGGAAACAAACTGCCAACTTTCATGCCACTTTTGTAAGGGCACTACAACAAGTCCACTATTAAAAGTACTTATAAAAAAATTATTGTTGAATTGGAAAAGGCCAACTTAACTGTTGTATATAACTGTGTGCGATCAAGCATCCACAAACAGAACAGTAATAGAAGGTAATAATTATTACATTTTATATAATTATTTATCTCAATCACGCATTCTCTTTTAATTATTAAGTCTCATCCAGGAGAGCCGAAAAAGATGCATTGAAAATAATGTGCCACCGAAAAGTAGTATTATTGTTAACAATTCCGAAATTGTGCCTCTTTATGATACTCCCCATCTTCTCAAAGGTACAAGAAATAATTTTTTAAAGAGAAATATTTGTTGGGAGATAGATGGGTGAATTATAGTCGCAAAATAGGATGATATTGTTAAGGCGTATGAAATAGATTGTGGTAATGGGAAATTTCGTCTATTGCCAAAAATCAATCACCACCACATTAAAATAAATAAAATGAAGGTGTCTTGTGCAGCCCAAATATTTAGCCACACCACAGCAGCTGCCATTTCATACATGGCAAAATCAAGTAAGTACATGTTTCTTGTAACAAAAAAATGATATAACTTTATAGTTCTTATAATATGTATCTGTTTTTAGATGCCACTGACATAACCGGTACAATGATAATGGCTAAATATACACAAGACACCGCTGTTATTTTAAAATTTTTTGGTCAGCTATTTGACAGCTTTAATGGGGGAAGTTGTAGAGCGCCCCCTGGAAAAATACTTACGGGTGTAGTAACAAATTCATCGAGATATCTAGTATTTTGGAGGGATACAAGAGGTAACTATCATGCATTATTATCTATAGCAAAATAATATACATTGGCTGAAAATATGATACATGTATTTTTAATAACCGCAAATGTATTTTAATTTATGTTTATGTTGTTTCAGAAAATCTGGAGAATATGTATTTCCAAGAGGGCACGCAGGAAAAAATAATACCTCCTAGCTTAAAAAACTGAATATAATATGCTTTAAAGACCTCACAAAAGAATTGCTTGGTAGAGGCTTTTCTTTTTATCTACCAAGAACCTTTAATCAGCATGGCTTGGAGAACTATTTCGGCCAAGTTAGGCAGCATCGACTTCGGAATAATAATCCAACGCCAAAACAGTTTGGTGATACCCATAAAACGCTGCTGATAAGAAATAGTTAGTACGCATTCTGTGGAGGCAAATTGCGAGGAAACCTTCGACTCGTCCTTATTGAAGTTGAAGGATTTTTTATCAACCCAAGTACATGAAATGGAAGATCAACACTATTCAAGAGAATTTATAGTTCCAATTTTATTTGACCAAAATTTAGCAAAAGACGAATAGATAATCGGCAGTTGGGTATGTTGCCGGATTTATAACAAAAAAATTACTAAGAAAATTTAAGTGTGAATTTGATATGTTACATATTATAAAAAATGACAATACTGATGATTACCATCAATTTATAAAGGAAAAAATATATAATTCGTACAAATCTTTACAATATTGCCTGTCAACATTTGTTGTATGCTTGGAACAATGTTATAACATTACAAAAAATACGTTTTGTAAGGGTATAAACATAAACAAGATATTAAGTGGTAAAGATTCCAGAAAACTTAATAATACCTGCAATTCAATATCAAAATAGACACTAAGAGTGTAAAATATGATACAAATCGTAAATATTTAGTAAATAATTATTCTCTTGGTCTTTAGATCTTCTCTTAAAGAAGATCTGGGTTGTTCCCCAGCTGAATTAGTGTATGGCCAACCTCTCCGCCTGCCAGGCGAACTTTTCGTTACTTCTCAAGACCACTTAGAAATAGAACCACTACTATCTGGTCTTAAGGAGACATTTTCAAATTTAAAACCCGTTCCCACTTCTTTTCATTCCAACATTAAACCTTTTATCCACAAAGACGGTCAGAAGAGAAAGAGCGGTCACGTTCCATCGAACTGAAGCCCTCCATAAGAAATACTGTACACGGGCGTTTAGAAAAATCAAAACGGGCATCTGTAGTCAACTTGCGGCCGATCTCCGCCGGGTGGTTTACAATTTCGCGCGCATCCCCTGCCGTATACGAACCACAAACCTGCGGTCGTACTCAACCGCATCGCGACCGATTTCATTTTAATACCATCTAAATACCAAGACGTCGCATCGAAAGGACGCTTCCATAAACAACAATGGACGATGCATTTGACACCGATACTTTTATCAGCGAAATCCAAAATCACGCTTGCATATGGGAATACAAATGTGAATCGTACAGCAACAAAATTGCGAAAAATAATGCATGGGTTGCCATATGCGAGAAATTTACCTCCGTCCTGGATTCGTCAGGAAGACGGAATATTAAGTGTATTTTCCTGTAGATTTCTGTGGAAAGCACTTTCTTCGAAAATAGATGAATCGCAGTGTCTACCATAGGAGCCTATATCTACGAAAGTAAATATATAATTCGAGTCACAAATAGCTAGTAAAATAAAAGAAAAATATTTTTTATAATTGATGTATAAAGAACCGGTATCTGTTGGCTTAATAATTCTAATGTGCTTTCCGTCGATGGCACCAATGCAGTTGGGGAAGTTTGCTCGTGCTTCACATCCCTTTGCAATCCTTAGCCATTTCCCTTCCGTTGGCTCCGGTAAGCACAAGTCTTTTAAATTTATCCAAATTTGTTGACAAACATCTCGAGTTATTCTAGCTATTGTTGTAGATCCATATCTGTACGAATACTCCATATCCACAAATGTAGTTGCCATCCAGTTGCCAAATACCTGAAACAAGCTGTTAACTATTTCTATATTTTTTTTTTTTTGCAGCCACGGTATTACAAAGGAAGTGGAAAACGTTAAGGGATGGCTTTAACAGAGAAGTGAAAATAAATAAATCGACAAAGAATGGTTCTGCTGCATCCACTAAGAGGCAGTATGTTTTTTTTCATCCGTTGTCTTTTATACTACCATTAGCAGAAGCCAGGGCCGAAACATCAAACAGTTTAACGACTACATCTCCTCAAAATAATGAGGACGAAGAAGATCAACCACCGAAAAGTCATAGGCAAAAACTAAAAAGAAAATCAGTCGGGTCTTTGGAAGATCAACTTATAGAAACATTGTTTAAGTGCATTGAAAAAAAAATAATAGTGGCAATGATAATCTACCACATCCGGACAATTTCAGCGCTGTAATAATAATTATCAAACAGTTCCTCCTAGCAATATTACTACTCCGCTATTTACGCAGGGTTCAACATTGTCGGTGGACTCTGCACATACAAATTCATCATTTGAAGATGTATTTCAATTGTAGATAGATAGTAGAAACAGAAAATCAACAAAATGTGTACCTACCTACATTGTTTTATTACATCTGTAAAAAAATGAATTCCGGGCGTACCTACCTATTGATCATATAATTGAATTTATCTATTTACTAACCTCAAAGTTACTAGCAAGCCTCTCTTCAGCTGGAATACTTGTCCTCATATTGGTGTCAGGGCGTTCAATTTTCGATTTCAAAATGCTGATTAATTCATCAAATGAACTAATTGACATTCTAAAGTAATTAAAAAATTTCTTTTCGTCTTGCCGGAGTTTACCAAATAAATTATAAAAACTTCCTTCCTGTCGTCGTGAAAGTAGAAGTGGATGTATCCAAAGCAATTGTACCTTGCTACGTCTTCTTCTTCTTGTCCTCAAAATAAGTAGTATTACTACCCTTACTACTCTTCAAAATCCATTGAGACTGGCGACTACAATCTCAACCACACCATAAATAAAGTAGGACAAAACAATGTTTCCGTTTTGTTTCTGATGTGGTCAGGTTGTAGTCACCTCGGCTTCAAGTGAGTTCAGTTCATATGAGGTTACCTCAACTGCAAAATTGTGGCTCCTGTACAGACGCACTTAGGTCACGGGTTTGACCGAAAACCGAAATTTTGGGTGCTGGGTGGGGTTTGGTTTAAGTAGAATAAGCACAAAGAAAGAAAGCCTTGACGAAAGAATTGACGTACC